ATTCCACCTTAACCCGTGATCAAGTTGCAAGTCCATGCTATCCAACCTCGCTCTCTAGGGTCGGGAAGTACCATGGTCCTTACTTATTACCATAATTCAACCGGCTATCCTCAAAGACTACCGAACACACCCGTAGGCCAATCCTATATCTAGGATCAATTTATTATTCAATTTATCTTGGGTATCCCTTAAGGCCTACCCCTAGTATAACTTAAAGTTCATACCTTCCTACCATAAAGCATTTCTTAAGACTACTTAAGGCATAACATTTCACAATCCAACTCTAGGATCAATTCTAGCAACATTTTACTTTAATGATCGACTAGTATATTAATACTAGTCAGACTCATCCAAACAATCCAAGTTCTCCGTTCATAGTCATATAGACAATTTCAAACTGATTTTCCATAGAAAGTATCATTTATATCAATATACAAAATATCACTTTTAATCACTCATATATTCTTATATGAAGTAAAAAGTATATTTCAACATAAGTTTCATAGTTAAATCCACTATCAAATCAACATACTCATAACACATGATCATACACAATTTACTCTTAAATTTTTATGTCATGCTCCTTTCCTTATAGACAACAGTCTTCTCATTTTGAGGCATTACTAATCATTAATAATCCATAAAAACACATTTAATTACCTTAGGTAATCCCATGAAATTAACTCACTAATTATAAGCAATATAGTCAGTCATCCTCACCTTATGATGTGCGCAACTAGCTGCCTTAGCGAAACCCCTCGATCCATCCTCGTTCCAGGCCATTCAAGAGTGAAAATTTTGGGCAGCAGGTGAAAGCCGGGCGGAGTTCGTGGCATGCAGTTACGGGCAGCCTGTTTTTCTTGGCGGTTTCCGACGATTTCGACTCCTATCGATTCACCAACTCTTCTAAGTTAAATACCACCACTTTATATCAATATTCTACACTTTTAAACGTGTAGAATATCATGTTTAATCCACCATATGATTTCTTAAAAATCATACACTATAAAACTAGTAAAAGAAGATAGATGAGTTCATTCTTACCTTCCTTCTAGCTAGTTTTTTCTTAGGATTTCCTTTCTTATTGCTCCCTCCAAGCTATGGATTCTTTGTAAAGACTTTCCTAGAGCTTCTCTATCCTCTTGGCTTGTGCGTATGGTTCACAATGGTAGAGGAAGCATCCCCCACAATCAAATGCAAAAATAATGCATAGATGGGGTCTAGGAGGTGTGAATGTTTGTCTTGTCTCCTCCTTATTATTTGGGAGTTATTTGACTAATAGAATACCCCAAGTGGGTGTAGAAAGTTCCTCCCAATTATCTCTGCTATTTCTGGCAAGTTGGGTCAAAATAGTACTTGGGTTGCCCAAATATTTTCCTCAACTTTAGTTGGCATTTTATTGGGCTTCTAGAATTATTATGTTGACCCAACTAAATATTTGGTAGCCCATTCTCAATATTACGGGCCTGATAAAATATTTTAATTAATCATTCATTAATTAAATCCATCATTCTTTTACATGAAATTATTCGCTAGAAAATTCAAATACATACTTTGTCACGCCCCGGACCTAGCCGGACACGTCAACAACCCGCCGTACAGTACGAATAGTCAACCGCAGTCCAACTCATCCATACTATACAAGGCGTCATGAATACCATTCACACATAGTACATCCATAAACAAACATAATGTAAAACATTCATTTAAAACAGCGGAAGCATTAATACAATTGTTCAAGTCACACCTGGCATAACTAGGCATACAAGCCCTCAAGTAATTATTAATAAAATGGTGTCCATGAGCATTAACTTAATTGTTTTTAAAACAGAACGGAAGAAGCACGAACCACGTCTTCTCCCTTGGATCTCCCCGGAGCAACGGGCGGTGGCAGCAACCTTCAAGTTCTACCTGAAACTGTGAGGTGGCCTCCCCCGTGAAGGGGAGGTCAGTACTTGGAAATATTTGACAAGTACAATAGCAACTATACTAAGTATAATCAACGTTTTAATTTCCAAGACCCTCGACTTAGGGTACTATTATATTATAGGCCATAACCCTCGGATTTCCCCTTTTACTTTTAACTGTACTTACTTTATATAAAGTCAAGTAGTCGGTCCGTAGGCCCATATTCATTTGGAATTCATCGTTTCCATTCCCCCGTGATCACAGGTCACGATAACCCCGTGGGGTCCCATCGAGCCCCAATTGTATAGCATGGGCTCGGCCCAACTATTTCTCTATACAATCCTCTAGCTCAATATATCATATCAAAATTTGTATGGCAAGGGCTCGGCCCAACTACGTTTCCATACCAACCATAACTTCGTGGCAAGGGCTCGGCCCAACTACGTTTCCACGGAGGTAACATATACATGGCAAGGGCTCTGCCCAACTACGTTTCCATGCTAATCATATTACATGGCATGGGCTCGGCCCAACTACATCTCCATGTCATCCTAGAGTCCAACTCTAATTATTTTCATAATCAAGTTCTCAAGCTAATCTTATGCCTAGAATAAATTCCCGTAGGTGGCCTTTAGGCCTACCCCTATCACTCCTTAGTGTTCATACCATTCATCCTTAAGTATCTCTTGAGACTACTTAAGGCATATCTATTCACAATCCTACCTCTTAGGATTTGTTTCATCATTTATTTATATTAATTCCCCGACTAGTATTTTGATACTAATTGGATAACCTTAGAACATGCCAAGTTCCTATTTCCCAATTTGCATTTCATTTCCATTGATTTCTCAATCCAAGTATAGTTTAATCTCAATATCAAAAATATCACTTTAATCCATTCATGAATTTCATACATGAAGTAAAGTATATTTTATCACAATGTCATCATAGTAATTCCATTAACATGACGTTCCATTCATTTCACATAATCATACACAATTATTCTAAATTTGTATATCATGCTTCACTTACTCATATCCATATTATTTTCATTTAGGCATTATTAATCATTAATAATCCATGAAAATCCCATCTAATTACTTTAGGCATTCTTATGAAATTAACTCACTAATTATAAGCAATATAGTCAGCCATCCTCACCTCGTGATGTGCTACAATAGTTGCCTTTGTTACGCCCCTCGATCAATCCCCATTCTAGGCCGATTGAAAGGCAAAACTGGACTGCCTGGGCAAAAGCCGGGCGGCTTTCGTGTTCTGCAGAAACGGGCAGCTCCCTTAAAGTGGCGGTTTCCGGCGATTTCGACTCTTATCGATTCACCAACTCTTCTCAGTTAAATATCACCACTTTATATCAATATTCTACACTTTTATACGTGTAGAACATCATGTTTAATCCACCATATGATTTCTCAAAAAAATCATACACAAAAACTAGTTACAAGAACTATTTGAGTTCTTACCTTAATTCCTAGCCTTTTGGGTTGGATTTCCTTTGCTCCTTGCTTCCTTCAAGCTATGAGCTTTGTGAGGGTCTTCTCCTGAGCTCCTCTCCTTGCCTTGGTCGTATGATTGAGGGTGAGAAATGATAGCAGACAACTCTCCTCAATCAAATGGGGAGTTATTGTGTAGGACATGGGGTTTGGCCTCAATCCATCCCCTCTACCTATAGTCCTACCCCAGCCCCCTTTCCTTGTCTCTTCCAGCTCCCATTCAGTCAATTGGAGCACACAAAAACGTGGGGTGGCCCCCACTTTGGTGGGAGGTCATCCCGTTATGTCCCGGTGTGTACAATCGGCCTCGAAAGTTGTATTTTTCGGACTACTTTAGTTATATTTTATTTTGTCGGACCAAATAAAATATATCACGCGTTCCCAATAATTATGGGCCTTTAGAATAGATGTATATTCCCCAACATTAATTTAGGGGTCTCCGAAACTCATTTCGGACTGTTATCCGTTAAATTTCCAATACCGGTAATTGGGCCCCGTTTGATCAACCGGTCAACTCCATGCCTTTCCTATGGCCCAAATAAAATATCCACAACCATATATATGTCATCTAGACCAAGATGAATATAATATGTGGTTCGGGAATTATCGGGCGGCCCCCGCTCTCGCTGTGGGCCCCACATGCAATTTACTATTCACGTAAAAGAAATAATAAAATTTAACAATTACGTAAATTCATAAATCATCTTTCAAGGTTTATTACATAATTTACTAAAAGCAACTATGCTTGGGGACGGTGCTACATACTTAATATTAAATTCAAGTACATCCGGGTGCGGTGTCACACTGTGAGTGTCACTGTGGCTGTGGTGTCATTGGCGGCAGCGACGCGGTTGTTTATCGATCGAAAAACAGTCATAGTGTCATGTTTCACAACGACAGTGCCATTCAAAAATGACATAAAATCTGATAGTGACATAAAAATATAACAGTCACATAAATTTCGACATTGACGACACGTTTTTCCAAATAGATGACCATCCGAGTCACATTTTTGTTTTTTTATAAAAATGGTCACATTTTTTGAAATTGACTTCAATTTAGTAGTACTCATGAGTTAACTAAATTATGAGTTATTCAAGGACAAACCTTATCTTTCTTTACTAACTCTTAACTTATGAGTTAACTAAATTAATTATTTCTCATGCACGTAGTAAGTAATAAGTTAACTTGTTATTGTTATTATGGGCTAAGACAAGTTTGACTTTGAACACGACTCCTCTATATGATGATCATGTCTTACTCCAATTTTTGGAATTTAAGCTAGTTTTACTCTTACGGTCTTACCTAATTAGCTTCTTATATTGATGTCCTCGACCTCGAGGACAGTACTGGTTGATCTAGCAAGAAGTTGAGTTTGTTGGTGGTAAATTCCTCGCCACATAATCTATATTCTTTTCAAATGCTGTCGTCGTTTTATTGCCCTCCATTCCCATGTACCAAAACAATCCTCATATTGCCGTTCAGGGAATCAGTGATTAAGGAACCGCGTAAAATATACTCCATAATTTATTTTCTGGTACTATAAAATCCCCACTCCTCTGTCTCATGTAATAACTTTCGCCCTTTTCTGTTTCTCTCACCCCATCTGTCGCTGGGCACAGAACGCACAATAATGCCACAATACTGCTCGGTCTCGTATCAACAGTGACCCAACGAGCAGTATTGCTTGGCGCCCCAAATACAATTATCATAATAACAGAGCAATCTTGAATAAAATTTAAGCCTCTGTTTTTTCTTGCAAGATTGCTCTGTTTAACTTGAGTAGTTTGGGTAGGTGAAATAAAATAATGGGGGAGGTTTCAATTAACCAGGTTGACCTGACGATGCCGGAACTCCGGTGGCCGGCGTCGGATTTAGCGTCGGAAATGGGGCAAATGTGGGAATTTGTAAAGGACCCGGTGATAGTTCCTGCGCTAAGGCTGGCCGTGTATATATGTTTGGCAATGTCCATCATGCTCTTCGTTGAGAGGCTTTACATGGGAATTGTTATCGTTCTGGTCAAGATTTTCAGTGGGAAGCCAGAAAAAAGGTACAAATGGGAACCAATGCCGGATGATTTCGATATTAACAGTGCAGCTTTTCCCTCTGTTCTTGTTCAGATCCCTATGTTCAATGAAAAAGAGGTATCGTATATGGCTAATTAGTTATCTTTCTCATGCATGCACGTCTATGTAGTACGGAAACTCACGAGAAAAATTACGTTTACGTTTCAAACTCTACAAAAACTTTTCGTAACTCTCCAAACACGCATTTTTTGAGCAAACGTTGACATTTTTCGTTTCCCGTTTTCTCATGATTTTCGTATTTATGTGCAACATAGATGCACATCCAAGCAAATTGCTCCCATTCATCCAAGCAAATTGCACGTACAAAAAATGATGACATTTTATTGGCGTATCTATATGCATGGTTTGGACAGGTTTACAAGATCTCCGTAGGGGCTGCATGTAAGCTGTCTTGGCCGTCGGATCGTCTTGTGATTCAAGTTCTTGATGATTCTACCGACCCTATCATCAAGGTCAGTTCAACACGTTTAGGATGGTTCAATGGTATGTAAAAATGTACTACCTCCGTCCCAAAAAAGATTGATACATTTTGACTTTTCTTGGTCAATGGTGGTAAAGTTTAGACAATGATTTTAGGTATTATATTTGTTTGTAATTTATAAATTTTATACTTTTATGTAAGATGTTTTAATAAAGAATATGCTAATATAATTTTTCATAGTTTAAATAATTTTGTATTAAAAGATATCATTGGTCAAACTTAACCATCATTGACCAAGAAAAGTCAAAATATATCAATCTTTTTGGGACGGAGGGAGTATTAATTACTGACAAGTAACATGCAATGGCTCGTTGTTGAAGGATATGGTGGAAAAGGAATGTCAAAGGTGGGCGAGCAAAGGAATAAACATAAGATACCAAACGAGAGTGAGTAGAGGAGGATACAAGGCCGGAGCTCTAAAGGAAGGGTTAACACATTTTTATGTCAATGAATGTGAATATGTTGCTATCCTTGATGCCGATTTCAGACCCGACCCGGATTTTCTCCTACACTCTATCCCTTTCTTGCATCACAATGCGGACCTCGCTCTTGTTCAAGCCCGTTGGCGATTTGGTAAACAAATGTTAAGATTTGGAGTTCCATCTCAAAACGAGGAAAAATTTGAGCGTTTTACGTATTTATTTAGGACCTCACATGAATTGTTAAACAATTATTGTTGGGAGTTTTTGTTGTTGTTGATATCATCCAAACTATTTATTTACTTCTATTGTGTTTTATTTTTTGTGAATTTCTTGAAGCCAATGCGGATGAGTGCTTACTGACAAGAATGCAAGAGATGTCCTTGGATTATCATTTCAAAGTAGAGCAAGAAGTGGGTTCCTCTACTCATGCTTTCTTCGGCTTCAATGGTACGTTATACTTCGTATTTAGTAGAGCTTAATTTAGTAGATATAAATATAGTTCTGATTAACCTAAGTTATACTTCGTACTTTGGTTTTAATTTTGACTTTTGAGGGAATTATATAGTTTTACTTAGTAGCCAGATTTAGATAATTAAATATAAGGAAAAATTCTGAAATTGGAGTACAAATAATATAAAATTCTACGCAGTATAATAGAAGTACGTTAAATATGGCAAGAATAAAAACGTAATGCCCCTATTTTATAATTCAAAAATGTTTTATGTGTTTACTTATATATCGTATTCAAGAAAATAGATTTTTACTTGAGTTTAAGTGGGTTTCCGTATTAAATGAGATGTTTCATACACGAGTACTATACATGACCCATGATAATTTGATTCTTATTATATACGGAGTATTTCGTATAAATAATTGCATATTTATTACTAATGATTGTTTGAAAAAACTCTATTACTCCATAGTAATTTTTAGAAATTAGAGCCCGTTTGGCAGGATGAAAATTGGCTGTTTTGGTTGATTCTGCTGAAATTTATGAAGTTCTGGTTGAAGTGGCTGCATTGGCTGATTCTGCTGATACAAGAAAAAAGTATTTTTAAAATATATTTTATTAATAAAATAAAGAAAAAATTATATGTAAAAATAGCTAAAATGATCATCTACAGTAACTTCAGCCAATACAGCCAGAAAAGTAACTTCAACCTTACTTTTTCGACTTATTACACAATTTAGCGTGCGAAAGCAAAATTTACGTGTTTGGTAAAAAAGTTGGCTGATAAATCGAAAATAATGGTTGCGAAACGACGTCTTAGTATGTTAAAACAGTTAAATTAAATCAATTTATCTCACATCTTACTACACGTACCAACGTGCCACATAAGAGTATATGTTAAGTAATGCCTGTTGTCACGATTCATTATTATCCTGTTTCTAGTAGCTTATAGCTTCTTTTTATACTGTTGTGTTTAATTTGTCGTCGCGTGCCTGTTAATAAAAAATGATGAGAAATCCAAATGAAGTAATGAGTATGTTTGAAGTTTGTTTTAATTTTCAGACTCGCTGATACCAATGATGTAATTAGTTTATTCCAATCAGATCAATATATATGTACAAAATGTTACCTATAACCCAAATTTGTACACACGTTTTTTACGCCACCTTCACAACGATAATAATGTCGTTGTTGTCACAGACAAAACATTATCAATAAAAATAATTTCTTCATGCATATACAATATTCCATCTAAATACGTGGCAAATAAAATTTTATCTAAGCGCGAAAGGTGTTATAAAGAAATACCTAGTATACAAACAGCAAGCTTCATAGTACCTTCGTGCTTAGTCGATGCAAATTTTGAGCAATGATTTTAGTTATTATATTTATATATAATTTATAAATTTATATTTTTATGAAAATATTTTCAATAAGGAATATTTTGATATAATTTACATATTCTAAATAATTTCGTACTAATTAAGAACGCAAAAGCTTTTAAAAAACAAATGATTCGTCTAGTGACACACTCATTATTAAATCGAAATCATATGGATTCTCATTTCATGTGCTAGTTCGATTTCATTCTTCTCCATCTCATGATGCCCTTGTCTCATTCCTAAAATGGTGCACTTAGTTAAACTAACAATTGAGTTTTAGCTAGTCATATAAAAATGATCATTATCTTTATCAAGGGTTATACATTTACGTAGCATTATTTAAAACTGAAGGATTGTTCACCGACCAAACAAGTTTCTCTAGGGTATGTTTGGGAGTTGTGTTTTGGAGGGAAGAGAAAGATTATGAGGGTTTATGATATATCTGGCCTTGTTTGGGAGTTTAGAAAATTGGAAGGAATGATTTTGGAGGGTTTTTGAAACTCTTCAAAATATTTCAAATGCTCAATTTTTAAGTTCCTCAAAATTGGAAGAATTTGAAGAATTACTAATAAATGTAAATTTAACCTAATTAAAATTGAATATAGATTCAACTACTTAAATTTGACATATCTTTAAAGTGAATTCAATTATAATTCCTACTTAGCCTCTCTATTCAAATTTGCAACATCCCAAACAAGGGAAAAGGTTTCCCCCTACCCTCCTGTTCCGTTTCTAGAATTAACCTTCAAGTCCTTCTCCTTCCTTTCTCTTCAAACTCTCAAACATACGCTGACTTCTTTAGTAAATTACTAAATGCTGCAACTCACAACTAATAAAATAGTTGGACATGTTGGCACTAGCTATAAAGAATAAAACATTATGAGAATTGAAGTAACTCGAAACTAAGTATCCCACAAATCCCACAATGTAATTCGTTCATCCATTTTATAACATATTGTGACCCTCACATTTTGGATACATACAATACGCCCTTTTTGCAAGTATGAAGTGATTAAAGATGTTGACACACAAAAATGTTGACAGTTTGAATATGTGAGAATGTTGCTAGCTAGTAAATTTCTTGAATTTTGAACTAAGAACAATACAGTTTAATCAACTAACAGTATACGTACGAACTCAGAGAAGAAGTACTTTTGTGTGTATTCATTGAACTGAGTTTACAAGATGCATACAAGACTTAAGCAAAAGAAAATAGTACAAGAAGTCTATTTATAGAGGTCAACGAATAATAGAAAAGTAACAACCTAAACTAACTAGATGCTTCTAGAGTCTTCTTGTTTCCATGAGTTTCCGTACGTGCATATGAGTGCATGCGAGCCATATTTTGCATGCCAAGACCCCCCCCCCCCCCCCCCCTCAAGATGAGAGTGCAAATTTTGTACGTTCATCTTGTTTATTAAGAAATGAAAGGTGGCTTTCCCCAAAGGCTTTGTGAGTATGTCTGTTGTTTGGTGTTGACTAGGGACAAATAACGTGTGAATTATACCAGATTGGATCCATTCCCTGATGAAATGGCAATCAACGTCAACATGCTTTGTCTTCTCATGATGAATGGGATTAGCTGCCAAAGCTAGGGCAGACTTGCTGTCACAGTAAAGTGTAGCTTTTGTGATAGGAATTTTGAAATCTTTAAACAACTGAAGTAAACCAATGACCTCAGTTGCAGATGCTGCTAAAGCTCTATATTCCGCTTCGGCTGAACTTCTAGAAACTGTATGTTATTTCTTTGATTTCCATAAGATGAGTGAATCTCCTAAGAACATGCAATAACATGTGATTGACCTTCTTGTATCAACACAAGTAGCCCAATCAGAATATGAGAAACCTTTTAACTATAGATGAGATGATGATGGATAAAAAAGTCCTTGACCACTTAGATGTGTGCTGCTGCTATAGATGAGAAACCTTTTAACTTAAGATAACATAGAACTCTGTGAGCTGCTGCTAAATTAGATGAACTAGGTTTTTGCATGAACTGAGCCAAAGTGTTAACAGAAAAACTGAAGATCTGTAATGATCATCAAGGTAATGATCATCTTGAACACTTAAACGAAGCTTGCTATCCATTGGAAAGGTAACTGGTGTGCAATCTTGATATCCAAATTGAGTTAAGAGATCAACAGTGTATTTCCTTTGGCAAAGATACAATCCCTTTGATGAACGAGCAACCTCCAATCCTAAAAAGAATTTGACAGGTCCTAGATCTTTGATATTAAAATGCTCATTCAAAAAGGTTTTGAAAAGGCTGATTTGTTGCATATCAGAACAAGCAACGAGAATGTCATCAACATATACTAGGATTATCATGGTAAAGTTTTCCGTGTGTAAGGTAAACAAAGAATAATCTACATGAGACTGAATGAAGCCATACTCCTTTAAGGCAGTAGACAATTTGGAGAACCATTCTCTACTTGCCTGCTTAAGACCATACAGACTTATTAATAATCTGCAGACTTTGTTCTTTTCTTTCTGCTCAAAACATGGGGGAAAGTCATATAAACTTCCTCATGGAGATCTCCATGAAGAAAGGCCTTATGTACATCAAGTTGTTCTGAAAACCATCCCTTAGAAGCAACTAGGGCAAGTAACACCCTCACAGTATTGAATTTGGCAACTGGTGAAAAAGTGTCAAGGAAGTCCAGACCTTCAACTTGAGTGAAACCTTTAGCCACAAGTCTGGCTTTGTATCTCTCAATAGTGCCATCAGCATGATATTTCACCTTGTAAACCCATTTGCATTTGACTGGAGTTTTCCCTAGGGGGGCAGATCAGTGATAAGCCAAGTCCCTTTTGCCTCAAGAGCAGATATTTCATCTTTCATTGCTTGTTTCTAGTGTGGATTAGAAGAAGCTTGGGAGTAAGATGTTGGTTCAATGATTTGTGAAATGGAAGTATAAAAGGCTTGATGTGAAGGTGAAAATTTGCAGAAATTTACATAATTATGTAAAGGATGTAATGTGTTACCTGTTTTGTGAGTGATGGAAGAAGAAGATGTGACATCTGCTTATTGAACTTGAGTAAGGGTATAAACATAATCCTCAAGATGACTGGGAACTTTTCTTTGTCTGAATGATCTGAATAGTATGGATGTTTGTTGAGGTGATGGATGGGTAGAAGGAGTTGATATGTTGTCATGATTTGGAATGGATGATTGAGGAGATGTGTTTTCAGAAGTGCTATGATCTTGCATGTGAGTGGGAAAGGTTGTGTTATCAGAAAGAGAAGGATGAGTATCTTGGAAAGGGAATGTGGATTCATGAAAATCAACATCCCTGGATAGGAATGTTTGACAATTATCAAGATCATACAATTTATAACCTTTGGTATTAGCAGGATAGCCAAGAAATATGCATCTTCTAGCTCTTGTTTGAAACTTTTGTTTATGACAAATGAGATTGGAAGCAAAGCACAAACAACCAAAAGATCTTAAGGATGAATAGTCAGGTGTTTTGTTATGAAAGACCTCAAAAGGAGACTTGTTATTTAGGACTAAAGTTGGTAGTCTATTGACAATATGGACTGCTGTAAGGATACAGTCACCCCAAAAAGACAAAGGTAGTTTGGCTTGAAATCTGAGTGCTCAATGTTAAGTAAGGTTTGATGTTTTCATTCAGTTACTCCATTTTGTTGAGGAGTGTATGGACAAGTAGTTTGGTGTATGATTCCTTCTTGGGAATAAAAATATGGAAAATGGAATTCAGTTCCATTATCAATCCTTGTGATCTTAATTCTAAGGGAATGTTGGGTTAGAATCTGTTTGTGAAAGTTTATGGTGAGTTGTTTAGTTTCAGATTTGTGTTTCATTAAAGAGAACCAAACAACCCTTGAGAAATCATCCACAATGGTAAGGAAATATTGGAAACGATCATAGGTTGGAATAGAAAAGGGGCCCCAGACATCACAGTGTACCAAGTCAAATATTTTGGTAGTTTTAATACTGCTACTAGGAAAAGAAGATCTGTGATGTTTTGCTAAAGGACATATATTGCATTCCTTATTATCAAGAACTGAAACATGCAAGACATCTTTTATTTACTCAAGTTTAGAATCAGAAACATGGCCCAACCTTTGGTGACATATACTAGAGACAACATTATTAGACAAATGTAATGAGTGTACATCAGAATCATGTGTTTGTGAATGAAGTATGTATAACCCTTTGATCAGTTCAGCAGTGCCAATCATCTCCTTCGAATTTTTTTCCTGCAAAACACACTCATTGGCACAGGAAGAGAGAATTAAGGGTGATTCCAAGATCAGTTTACTGACATAAAGAAGGTTAACATTGAAATTGGGAACATATAGAACATTGGACAAAATTATGTTAGGAAAAAGTTTAACATTGCCAGTATAGGAAACTGAGACCTTGGATCCGGTTGGTAAGTGAACAAATATGTTTGAAGCTGGTGTTGGGTTATCAAGAAGGGACGAAATGCTGATCATATGATCAGTGGCTTATGTATCTAGGATCCAAGATGAATAAGTAGAGACAATGGTATTAGCAATTATAGAAGTGCAGAAACTAAGATGAACAGGATTACCTGGGTTGGTTGGATGGTTTGATGTCAGAGGTGTGAGAGGGATATTCTGATTTGTGGTTAGGTTCTGGATCAAGCTTAAAAGATGACGATATTGATCTTGAGACACCATGGAATTTGACTTATCAACTGAAGTCTGACAGGTAGTCTCCATTTGAGCAACACAAGCATTGGCTTGACTTGGATTCCTGCTTCCAGGAGTATTGGAATTCTGCATTGGCTGTTTTCCTTTGGGTTTATAACCTGGTGGATATCCATGCAACCTGTAACACTTATCCACCGTATGATTGGTGTAGCCACAATGAGTACAAACAACCTTAGTACCCTTCTTGAAAATGTTGTGATTAGGTTTGAAACCTTTATTGTATGTACTGTAATGTGTTGCATGATTGAAATTACTCTGTGTATCCTGATTTTTGTTGCTCATCATCACCATTGGTTCTAAGCTCAAGTTATTTCCCATTCTCCTCTGCATTTCATCTTGTAAAACGAAACTAAAAATCTGATTCAATGCTGGAAAAGGTTTGATCACCAGGATTTGTCCCCTTATTCCAGCATAAACATCATTTAAGCTCATCAAAAACTTGACACACATGCTTCTTTCTTCCCGTTCTAATACAGTTTTCATGAAATCACATTTGCACTTCTTAACTGCTCCACAGTTACAACTAATCACAGGATTGTATTGACCTAATTCTCTCCAGAGTGAGTCTAGTTTGTTATAGTACTCTGTGATGGATAGGTTACCTTGAATAGTCACATAGATCTGCTTCTGTAAATCAAATATCCTTGGCAAATTACCTTGAGAAAAACGTTCATGCAACGTAAATCACACCTGAGCAGCTGATTCTTCATATAAGATACATTGAGCTATCTCTTTCGTACAGGAATTTACAATCCACGATTGAGCCATAAGATCACATCGTTTCCACACTTCATGATTTTCATCATCAAGATATGGTTTCTTGAGATCATCAGTAAAAAAATTCAACTTAATGTTCGCACCTAATGCAATCTTCATAGCTTTACTCCATGAGTGATAGTTATTCCCGTTTAATTGTGGATTAACGAGCACAGTATTAGGATTGTCTCCTGATCCAATGTAGTAGGGACTTGAAATATCTTCCATGACCGGACGTTTTGGTGCGAAGGAACCAGAAACTGAATCTTCACTCCCGGCATGATTAAGCAGCAATCTTCAATGATATTGCTCTGATACCATCTAGAATTTTGAACTAAGAACAATACGGTTTAATCAACTAACAGTATACGTACGAACTAAGAGAAGAAGAAGAACTTTTTTGTGTATTCATTGAATTGAGTTTACAAGATGCAGAGAAGACTTAAGCAAAAGAAAACACTACAAGAAGTCTATTTATAGAGGTCAATGAATAACAGAAAACTAACAACCCAAACTAACTAGATGCTTCTAGAGTCTTCTTGTTTCCATGAGTTTCTGTACGTGCATGTGAGTGCATGCGAGCCATATTTTGCATGCCAAGAAAATTAAACTCTATTGAATTGTTGCATTGAAACTATACACAAAATTTGTTGAAATTATAGTCATAATTAATAATACCAAGATTAGATAATGAAACAAGATTGAATTTTAGCCCTATTTAGTATTTAGTGACTACAAAACATTTCATCCTGTTTGTGCAATCATGTTTAGAATTATTTATATTTAGGACAATTTCTGAAAACAAATAAAAAATGTTTTTAGGGACCGGTGGCATATGGAGGATCGCAGCCATCCAAGAGGCTGGTGGTTGGAAAGACAGAACTACAGTTGAAGACATGGATCTTGCTGTCAGAGCTGGTCTTAAGGGCTGGAAATTCCTTTACCTTGGAGACCTCCATGTATTTCATCAAATCCTTTAAATTAATCTCTACAACACTTCAATCCAAATGTGCTAACACTTTTTTACTTCAATTTTGTCATAGGTAAAAAGTGAACTTCCCAGTACTTTCAAAGCATTTCGCTTCCAACAACATCGCTGGTCTTGCGGCCCTGCCAATCTCTTCAGAAAAATGTTCATGGAAATAATTAAAAACAAGGTGAGTTGTATCATTTAATTTTGATTTGGATAAATAAAAAATTAAAAGGAACTCAAAATATAAGGAGAAAATTATAAAAATTGTGGCCAAATGAGGTGTTAATTCTTGATATATGACTAAATAGTTTTTAATTTCCAAATTAATGGTTTTTATTGCTTCATATGGTAATTCCTATTAAATTATGATTCTAAACAAATTATAGTCGAACATGGTTTTGATACTTTAATAAGACTTGAGGTTTAACACAAAAATGTAAACCCCATATAAATCACAGATATATCATAATCTTATAGTTAATTCATTATTTAGAGTCTATTCGATTATACTGAAAATGATTAAACTTTGGTTGAAACTGCTGAATTGGCTGAATTTACTAAATTATGAGGAAATTATAATTATAATATATTTTATTAATACCACAAAACTCTAAGCCTTATTCCCAAAAGATTCTCAAGTTGGCTAATATATTTTATAAATAAATAAGAAAATTATATCAAGAAATAATTAAATGATTCTCTACTATAGTTTCAGCCCATTCAATTATAAAAATAACTACAACCTTACTTGTCTTTATTATTATACATTTCAGTGTGCAAATCGAATGTTACATGTTTGGTAAAAAAAGTTGGTTGATAAGAGTAATGAGCTAAAAATATAAGTTATTAAATGGACTTTTAATATCAAGCTCATTTGTGAAGAACACTCCAATGGTGTGTTTGGCACTATACTTTTGTGAGCTTTTTAATAATTCTTAGTTTCTAGTAACTAAAAAGATCTTAAAGAAAAAGGTGATACGTGTTTGATGAAAAAATAATTGTTTGGTTTAGTTTTGTTTGGTATACAAGCTATTCTGACTAATTACTGCTACGAACTAAATATTTTTCTCATATGCTATTCAGTGTAGTTTCTCAAAAAAATGATATCTCTTAGAAATTGTCGTACCAAACATACAATTAAAAGCTTTGACTATTGAATTAAATAGTACTACGTACAAAAGCTAAAAGGTTTAATTTAGACTAATGTCTACCAAACATTCACAAAATCTTTAATAGACATCTAAAAGTGTATCTCAAATCTTGGTACCAAAGACACAAAAACTATGATATCTTCTACATTGGCCAAATTCAAAAATACAAATGCGCATGACACACACACACACACACATATATATATATATATTGGACATCAGAAAATATTTCGTTAGTTATATTTCAACACAATGGATGATTAGTTTTTTAATTTGTCAACAGAGAGTGGGCATGTGGAAGAAAGTGTACGTGATATACAGTTTCTTCTTTGTCCGTAAGATCATAGCTCACATGGTCACATTCTTCTTCTATTGCGTGGTTATTCCCTTAACCATTTTAGTACCAGAAGTAGAAGTCCCAAAGTGGGGAGCCATTTACATTCCATGCATTATCACAGCTCTCAACTCTGTGGCTACTCCCAGGTCAATCCACTTGTTGTTTCATTGGATCCTATTTGAGAATGTGATGTCCTTCCACCGCACCAAGGCTACAATAATAGGTTTATTCGAAGCCAAGCGAGCAAATGAATGGGTTGTCACTGAAAAATTGGGAGAAGGTATCAACAATAATAAGTCAAACATAGTCAAACCTACCACCAAAAAGACAAAGTCTACATTTTTCAAAGACAGGTAATATAATAATGAATAACTGTTTGCCAAAAAAAATGAATAACTGTATAAGTAATGGCGTATATGAATGATATGAGTACTTGCTATTTCATAATAATAAGTTATGTCCCTTTTCAATTATGTTTTTTTTTCAAAAATATTACTAAAATAAAAAATATTTACACAAATTTGACTAATAGTTACGACAATGTAGTGACATGATAACTTAAGTTTAAAAATTGAGCATAAGTTAGTATGATTCTATTACCACTATAATCACTAGCATATATTTGTAAACAATCTGTATTTTAGTTATATATATGTAATTATTTCTTCAATTTTTGCCATTTTCAATGTTTGTTTTTTACTATCATTATTTACAACTTTTATGAAGTCCATACTAAATTACTACTTATTGTTTTCATATATATATAGTCATATACTTTTATAAGTTGTACCAAAGTTTTTCATGCAAAGTATTATAATTTAATTTATTTAAACACAATTAATGGTCAAGTTAATGAACTTTGATAGTGAATGTCACAATGTTACCTCGAATAATAATTTAATAGTATTTAAGCACAATTATAGGACAAACTTTTACTCTAAAAACACATAACATTGTTTTATTAAAAGTACATATATATTAGTGTGAAAATTAGAGAAATTGGACCAATTTAGAAAGAAAAAAGATTATTTCCCTGATTTCCACGTGTGTATAAGAGTTTTATAGCAACAAAAATTTTTACACTTATTTGGAAATGGTATAACTTTAATTTTTGTTGTTTAATTTTTTTTTAGGTTCCTTTCGCAAGAGCTAGGATTTGCAGCTTTTCTATTCTTTTGTGGAGTCTATGACTTGATGAATGGGAAGAACCGTTATTATATATATTTATTCCTCCAAGCCCTAACCTTTACGATTGCAGGGCTTGGCTACATCGGTACTATTGTCCCTTCTTAGTTAGGTCTCGGCAATTTTGTTAGTGGTAGATGAGAAGACTACTAAATAACTACATGGACGGGTGTAAAGATGCATTTGGTTGTTGTTCTTATGGACAATTTATGCATAGATTTTGTGTTTTAAGACAGTTTATGTGGGTTCTGATTTATTGGTTAATTTTAACCTATGGGGGAGATATGTTTACTGCACAAGGGTCAAATTAAATGAGCATCCAAGATTCACTACAAGAAATGTTACATTTCTTGACACACATATTTGTTGACACATAAAAAGGTGTTACAATAACTAGCATATCTTGACACTTTTTGTCACAAGAAATCTATTCTAATTCTATTTGAATTTATATAATAATATTCAAGTATAAACATAACACAATATATTGGTCTTCGTTACTGAAGGAAAAAGTATGCCCCATTAGTTTAGTTAAAGGTGCTTTGCTGACACACTTTATTTGCCCACACTTTCATTTGCCCACACTTTAAAAAAGGAAGTCAACCATTTCCAAAGTCAGATGACATTTTCCTAAAAACGAGAATACAAGGTTAATTACGAAATGACAGATAAATGAATTGAAATTTGAAAAACGAGAATACACAAAGCGCAGCCAAAAATGACCTAATCTCAGGTTCCGGACGATCGGGCATCTGGGGCTTTTTGCAGGACTTAAACATTCATCAATCGGAGCTTTTGGCCGGACTGTAAACCAAAAAAAGCGCAGGTTCATGAGATTAGAACAGACGCTAGCTCAATATCCTCCATCTACTGATCTTGTTAGCATCGATTAGCTGATTTGCGGATTTGCGCCATCATCCTCTATGCGGATTTGCACCATCACAAATTTTCCATCGATTTTTCTCCTTTCAGACTCTTCCTATTTCTGCCTGTTGGCATAAATCGGTATTTATTCTACTTTTCACGATTGCTTAATTTGTACTTGAAAATGTCTATTAGACTGATCTTGTTATTTCTTATTCTTAATATGGATTCTTAGTTGATCTAATTGCTACTATAATCAGTATCTGTGGCTCTGGGAGATGGATTGCCTGATTTTTGTATATACATGTTTAATTGTATATACATGAATTGGCAGAATGTGATCTAAGTGTGGCCAAGGCACTTAGATTGAAACATAATAAGCGTTAGTCGGGGTCTGGTTCATTTATTCTTCGAGCTTTTATTGGAAATTAATTTCATGTTGCGTCACTAAATTACTGAAAGTTAATGCAATCAAAATGATGTTGTATTCTCATTTTGATTGGGCAGTTTTACTCATAAGTATAATGACTTGTATTGTTAGGTGAAGCTAAACGACAAGGATACTAATATTCATCATTCTTATTTTATTGAAAATTAAAAAAAAATACATGAATTGGCAGATTTCGCCTCCATTATTTGATAGTGTTCAATGGAGTAGTAATATAAATTTAGACTCTCCAATAAAAACATTCTTAGTGCATGTGTTGATCTAAAAACAAAACATTATCATATATACCTTTCATGACTACCTTTATATACAAAGATACTGATAATAATAAGGAAAGTTGGAAAAAATCGTTACCAGAACAACAAGAGAAACTTGCTGCTTAATACTCCTGATGGGAGTTGGCACACAAAGCTCCATCATCACCAGTATACTTGTGGCACAAAGGTGAGTTTACACTCATCAAGTGCCCTAACTCTCTTCCCCGGCCTTTTAGAATAAGTAGAAATCCCACACCCTGTTGCCCTCATACTCCTTCTCGATAAGGGTGATTACTCTCAAAGTTGTGGGGATCTTATTTGATATTATTGTGGGTTTTGAATTAGGCTGTCTACTTTGAGTGTTAAAATAAATAAATTCATCTATGCATTATATCTCTTGTAAATTTACTTCATATGTATTTTGTTTGCTAATTTCTAGTGTTGAAATTCAGATTGCTAATTTCTAGTAATGGTATGTTTCAGGTAGAAAGCAAAACACATCTTAGATAAATAAAGATAGATGGCTGATCTATTAGATATTTGTGTTTACTGAAGTGTCATTAGAAATTCTGTTGGAAATAGATATTTCATTATGTTCTGTTTTTTTATGAATTTCTGTAAATTTTACTCTATGGTTCCTCCCCTTTTAATTTCAGCCTACTAGAATAATAATGACTGATAGATCTTGGATGTATTTAGCTTCGCGGTCAAGTGAACAGTTCGTAAATGGAGTTGAGAGTTTTATACAATTTGCTTTTCAAAGATCAAGTCATGATGGAAAAATTTTATGCCCATGTAAAAAGTGTTATAATATGTTTTATCATACTCGGGGGGAAGTGTTTGATCACGTAATATGTAGTGGATTCCGAAATGAATACACCGAATGGGTAGATCATGGAGAACATCGAATGTCATCTTCTTCAAGTTCTATGCCTAATAATGAAGAAGGGGTTCTTAGTCATGACATGAGAAGCTTATTGGATGACTTGTTACAATCAGTCCATGTAGATGGAAGTACTTCTAACACGGAGGAGCACGAAAGGAGCACGGGGTTGGGTGAATTTAGGGATCCACCAAACTCTGAAACTAAAAAAGATAAGTTTAATGACTTGTTACAGGATTCTGAAAAAGCAGTGTATCCAAACTCAAAGTATAGCAAGCTTTCTTGTTTGGTACATTTGTTTCATTTGAAGTGCTTGAATGGTTGGAGCAACAAATCATTTTCTATGCTGCTAGAGTTTTTAAAAGATTTGTTGCCTGATCAAAATTTACTGCCCAATACGACTTATCAAGTGAAAAAACTACTTGGAGACCTAGGTTTAGGATATGAAAAGATCCATGCATGCCCAAATGGTTGTATGTTGTTTTGGGATGATAAGGAGAATGAAGAGGTGTGCTCAATTTGTGGAGAATCAAGATGGAAAGTTTCCACTGATAATATAAGTGACACGGTAAACACTCAAAACAAAAAGGCAGCAAAGATTTTACGTTGGTTCCCTTTGAAACCAAGGCTCCAAAGATTATTTATGTCTAAAAAGACATCCGATCTCACAAAGTGGCATCATACAGAACACACAAATGATGGAAAGATGCGACATCCAGCTGATGGTGAAGCATGGAAGAACTTCAAAAACAAGTACCCCGAGTTTTCTAGTGACCCAAGAAACGTTTGTTTAGCCCTTGCAAGTGATGGTTTCAACCCTTTTAGGACAATGAATCTCAGTTACAGTATTTGGCCAGTCATTCTTATTCCATACAATTTACCTCCATGGTTGGTAATGAAACAACCCAACTTCATTCTATCTTTAATTATCCCTGGACCGAATGGTCCAGGTAATAAGATAGATGTATACATGCAACCGTTGCTAAAAGAACTGATAGAGTTGTGGGAGGTTGGCGTTGAGACTTTTGATGCAAGTAGTAAAGATTACTTTCAAATGAAAGCAGCCTTACTTTATACAATTTCTGACTTTCCTGGCTATGCAAACCTTTCTGGATGGAGCACTAAAGGAGAATTTGCGTGTCCTAAATGTGCCTTTCATACCGCTTCAGAATGGCTGCAATATGGCAAAAAATTCTGCTATATGTGCCATAGGAGATGGCTTCCATCTGATCATAGGTGGCGATATGAGGCCCAAGCTTTTAATGGGGAGCAAGAACTACGAGTTTCCCCTTCCCCTATAACTGGACATTCTTCTTTGCAGCAAGTAGAGGGACTTGAATTCCTAAGTGAAGTTGATGATCATGGCCCATGGAAAAAGAAAAGCATATTGTTTATGTTGCCTTATTGGAAACATTTGTTATTGCGTCATAATCTTGACGTTATGCATATTGAAAAAAATGTGTGCGAGAATATTTTCGGGACTTTGTTGGGGCAGGGCAAGAAATCAAAAGACAATTACAAAGCAAGGTTGGACTTACAGAAAATGGGTATAAGAAAAGAACTTCACCCACGAAAGCGTCATGTAAGCAATACTACATACTTGCCACGAGCATGTTATCCAATGACTCGACCCGAGAAAGATTCTTTCTTGAAAACCTTAAAGAATATGAAACCTCCAGATGAATTTTCTTCCAACATATCTCGTTGTGTGCAAGGGAAGAAACTTACAGGGTTGAAAAGCTATGACTGTCACATGTTGATGCAAGAATACCTACCAATTGCATTAAGAGGGACATTGCCGGATAACGTGGCCTCAGTTATAATTGAGTTGTGCGATTTCTTTAAGGGCATTTGTTGTAAGGATTTGTCTGAACCAGATCTTCAGTTTCTTGAAATGAGGGTTAGAATAACCTTGTGCAAACTGGAGAAAATTTTTCCTCCTTCTTTTTTTACTATCATGGTGCACTTGGTGGTCCATCTAGTTGAAGAGATAAGGCTTGGAGGACCAGTAACTTTTAGGTGGATGTATTCTGTTGAAAGGTAACTGATTTTAAAACCAATTTCACTTTTATTATGTATAACTATATGTATTATGTAACTCACAAGTCTTATTTTGGAATTATATTTGCAGGGCACTTTCAACGTTGAAGTCCTACGTTCATAATAAGGCTTGTCCAGAAGGCTCAATTGCAGAAGGATATTTAGCTATGGAAAGTTTAACCTTTGTCTCCCGGTATCTCTCTGGAGTTGAGACATTGTTTACTCGACCCATAAGAAATTATGACGAAGGTGAGCAAAATGAAATCGAAGAAATAAGCTCACTTTGTCCTGGACGTCCATTACGAAAAAGAAGTCAATGTAGTGTACTTATTCGAAAGAGAAAGAGAGTCAATCATCATGTGATTGATGACAAGTTGTTGATACAAGGTCATCGTTATGTGTTGTTCAATGTTGAGTCAATCATACCATTTAGAGAGTAAGTGTAACACCGTTCCTTATTTATTTCTTATGGTATGATTTCTCTCTCAATTTATTTATAAGTTTTCTTTATTTGAAAGGAGCATAAGTCAATTGTTAAGAGTAGAAACCGTTCACGGAGACCACCTGAATATGAAATTGAGAGGCTTCATTGCCAACAGTTCAGTGAATGGTTCCAAAAACGGGTATTAGACATTTTTTTAAATCTGTTGTGTGCAGAATTTATACAAATTTATTCTGAATCATAACATTCTATGATGATATAGGTATCACGTTTAGTAGAAGAAGGGGATGCAAGAGTCAGTGAAGAAATAAAATGGCTTTCTCTTGGTCCTCACACTTCAGTGAAGAAGTATTCAGGATATTTTGTGAAGGGATATCGTTTTCACACAAAAAATCATGAGAGGTTCTTGAAAACACAAAACAGTGGGATTGTTGTAACAGTGAAAAGTGAAAGTTTTGCTAGCCCCCGTGATAGGAGGCCAATTTCTGGTGTGATAAACTACTATGGCTCACTCAATGACATCATTGAGTTGAACTATTCTGGTAAACTAAGAGTTGTTCTATTCAAATGTGACTGGGTTGATGTGAATAGAGGTGTGAAGCAAGATAATATGGGAGCAACACTAGTTAACTTTTCATATTTGACACACACCGGAGCAAATTTGCTTGATGACCCATTTGTTCTCGCCTCACAAGTTGATAAAGTCTTTTATGCCAAAGATTCCAAATCTGAAGATTGGTTGGTTGTGAGGCATGTCAAAGTTAGAGATATGTTTAACCTTGGAAACAATGGTGATCGTATAAACATGTCAAATGATGTTTTATTTGACATGCCAAACTTGCATAGAGTTGGAGACAATGGTGATAATGGAGTTGATGTCACTCCAATGATGGAAGTAGAGACCAGTGATGAAGAAGATGCAGAAGCTAGCAAAAATGCTACTTAAATAGCCAAAATTATTATTAACTAAAAGCTCATATTACTTGTTACATTTTCCTGGAATTTGTTATATTAGTTTTTTTTCTTGGTTCAGTGTAACATTTGCCTCCTTAAGTAACCTTTATACATTTGGTTTAACATTGTTGGTTTCTGTTTGAAGTTTTTTACTTATCACCAATCTTATTTGTTTATTATCATCAGATGACTTGTTACTTGGTTATTTAACCATTGCTACAATTTAATGAATATACATGTTACAATTCTATCTTTTATTGTACTATGTTGAGTAGGGATGGCTAAACGTAAGAGATTGAACATCATCTCAATCAGTAACACCTCAAGTGCTCGAAATGAAGAGTTAGAGACAAATGAAAGCCAAAGACAACACCAAAGCCTTGGGGAGCATTCCAATGCTAGAAATGCTTCAAGAAGATATCAACAACCTTGTTCAAATACCTTACAAAGCTCTCAACCATCAACAAATGAACCAGAATCTTCTGAAACATCTATTTCAGCACATATGCACAGTTCCCAAACATCAGGTCATTTATGTTTTCAGAAATTTTCAAAATTAATTGGATTACTTATTTACATAATCTTTACTATTTCTATCCCATTTCAAAGGTATTGCTAAGAAGGTTCGAGGTCCAACGCAAAAACTTGGGATTTGGGAGCTAAAAGGAGACACAAGAATAGTAGCAATGTTTCAAAGTCCCTTTTATGCTTAATATCCATTTCTTTGTTTTATCTAACCATATCTTTGGTTTCCAAATTTTATTTTGATACATATCATTTCATGCAGTTGGATTTGATTCTCACTAATAATAACCCTTCCATGGATTCTAAAGTAGCAATGTTTTTATGTAGGAGAAATTTAAATTCCTACCAGCTGAAACTACAGAAGTTAAGAAATGGATAATTGCGAATATGGGATCAAAGTGGAAGTCATGGAAAAACACTTTGAAAGAACGAAATTATGATCCAGCTCTATCTGTTGATGAAATGGTAGAAAATGAGAAAGATAAGAGGGTAAACAAGTCTCAGTTTAAAGAGCTTGTTAAGACTTGGGTTGATCCAGAGTTCCAGGTGATTAGATGTTGGTTAATATATATTTTTATTGAAGAACTAAGTAGACAGTTTTTCAACTTTGCAGGAATAAAAAGATGAGAATATATTTTCACTAACTCTTTTGATTATATTTTGTTTCTTTTTATTTGAGAATATCAGGCAATGTGTGAAGTAAAAAAAAGGAGTCGGTTGAAGAATCAAGAGCCACATGTCACGGGGTCAAAGTCTTTTGCTAGAGTTGCGGAAGAAGAGGTGCTTGTAATAAAATATAATCATTTCATTAACAAATATTCAAATTTTCTGTATTATATTGTTTATGATACTCTCTCTTTGAAGTCAAATTCCCAAAATACCCCTTATCTTTGACATATATATGTATTACTTGCCTCTTGTTATAAGATCTAAGTTATTTTAATATTTAATTGCCACAAGCTTCAAAGAATAATGGTGTACTACCGACACGTGGAAAATTATTCATTAAAACCCGAACTCGAAAAGATGGCACTATTATCAATCCTGCAGCAACAACAGTCGTGGTACTATGTTTCGAGCTTGTTTTTCTTATGCAACAATTTGTTAAAATGACGTTGTGTGGATTTATTTTCTTTTCAATTGAGACGCTTAGAATGATGTGCTTAATATTTCACAAGTCCATCTTAAATGAATTTTTGGGTGGTTTATGTTTAGGAAGCTCTTCATAATGTGATGAATGAGAGTGATGACACTCAAGATTCTGAAGACACTGTTGATTGGAGACACGATGATTTAGCCAAAGTGAAAGGTCCAGAAAAAAGAGGACGAATACGTTGTGTAGGATTTACAATCTTGAAGGATAAATGTGCTTCTTCCTCACAACAATCACAAATGCCCATACAAGATCCACAAGTTCCCATTCTTCAAGCTCAAGTTTCTACACTTACAAGAAAGGTTGATATTCTGTTAGGTGCTTTCAAAAAGAATCTATCTCCTCAACAATTGAGTGCAATACTCAATGATTTGAATAATGAGGTAATATATGCTTATCTTAAATTTGTGTGATACTATTATCATTAATTATTTTGTAGAGATTATTGGACATGGGATCATATTCATAATTACCCAAAATTCAAATGGGGCCTTTTTGCAATTAATGCTAAATAATTACAAAAATGCCACCTTGTTATTATTATACATTGATTCTAAAAATGAATGGCGAAGATTAAAAGTTCTAAAAATGAATGACTGTCTTCTCGATTGAGTTTTAAGCTGAAATATTTTGTGGATAAACTAAACTTGATGAAAAAATGCTCACAAAATTTCATTAAAAAATTCCACCGGGTGAAGATCAAATAAAAAGGGGTTTTAAGGTATAAAATGTGAAATTTTCCCTTTTATTACAATGCTTTGGTGCATATTTCTATTTGGGTAGTGCACTTTTCAAATTTGAAGAAAATTTAGTTTTTAGAAAACAAGACGGTGGCAATTTAGTAAATAAGCGAATCTTCTTACAAATGTAAAAAAGTGCACTAACTCAATAGAAAAGTTACTAAGGCATTGTAAATGTGAAATTTTGGCATTTTTCACGTTATGACCTCTTTTTATTTGATCTCCACTCTAAATCAACCAATAGGGAGAAGTTTGCATAGAAGAGCAATGACAGACGCATGTTTTTACTTTTTAGTAGTATAATACATAACATCCTTCATGAGTTCATGGTGGTTACAAGAGCTGAAGAGCACTCATTGTTTATTACTGTGGGTGTGTGGCGTGCTTTACCGTTGTTATTGTTGTTATTGCTGATGTTGTACATCCCACCCCTTGCCGCCACTTGTCTAGACAACCTGATGACCATCCGTGTGAGCCCCTTGTGCTACTTTGTCCTGCAGCCTCAATCCCCCCCGCTGCCTAGCTACTATAAATGCTTCCCGCTGCTGAGCGATTAAAACAGATAACGTTCCTGTGAAAGTATCCAACTTTTTATCAAACTCAACTATGTTACACCTTTGAGGGTTTTCCCAGAATGACTTAATGAGATCACCGAAGGCAGCCTCTGCGGTTTTAATAAGTTGCGATTTCACGAATTCCAATCTCATTTCCCTACCATTCGTCCAATAATTTTCCACTATCAGAACAAAAGCTATGGATGTTGGGTACCAATAAGATATTTCATAAAATTCTTTGTTCATTAGTAAGTACCTTATGACAACTTCTATGCCACTCAAAATGAGCATAAACGCGCATATTCCAATTTCGAATACTTAAAGTGTAATTCGGCATATTAGACAGTCATGTGGATTATGGTCTGAAAAGGAGCCTCTGACCATCTTGTTTGAAGACAATGCAGCTTGTATCCACCAACTTAAGGAAGGAATCATCAAGGGAGATAGGACGAAACATATTTCACCAAAATTTTGGTATACACATGACATTCAGAAAGAAGGAGAGATCTTGGTTCAACAAATTCGTTCAAGTGATAACGTTGCGGATTTATTCACCAAGGCTCTTCCAACAACAACCTTCAAGAAGTTAGTGCACCTGATTGGATTACGTCGACGCAAGGATCTTGAGTGATATATTCATTAGGGGGAGTAAATACGCGCTCACTCTTTTTTCCTTACCAAGGTTTTGTCCCACATGGTTTTCCTTTGGCAAGATTTTTAATCAGGCAGCATCTTTAAGCGTATTTTTTTTATGTACTCCTTATATTCTTCTTTATATTCTTTAGTAGTGTATATTTAAGGGGGAGTGTTATGTAATGTATAAATAGAAGAAATTACCAAATTACGGGAATCTCCCGTCAGACAAGCCAAAATACGGGAGTTCCGTTTAGGTTACCAAATTACGGTAGTCGGAATTGGCAATTCCGACTGGAGGAGAAGTCCCGAATTAGGGTTGAAACCCTAGTCGGAATTGGGCAATCCGACTAGAGGTAAGTGCCAATTTAATTAAAAAAACCTAGTCGGAATTGGGGAATCCGACTAGGGTATTTTTGATTTTTTTTTTAAAACAATGGGTTAAAGCGGATAAAATTTATTAAAAACCTAGTCGGAATTGGGAAATCCGACTAGGGTATTTTGATATATTTTTTAAAAAATGACGTGTTTAATTGTGGTTCGAACATTTTACCAACCAACTCGTATATTTGGGAGTTTTGTTTTCATTTTATTGTTTGCACTACGTGTTTTATTTGTATTCCTTTATTCTACCAACTGCATTTATATGGTCACCGTACGTACCCCAATAGCTCCTATAAAATGAGTTCATTTCTTTTCAAAATTTTCACTCCAAAAAATAATCCTTCTTTCTCTCTTGATATATTTATTACATTTTCTGTTTAGGCATTCTTCTCTCATATAAAAATGTCTAGTGAGGGAAATATTGTTGTTATGGTTCATTGGAATGGCTCTACATCTCAAAAAGATGATGAAATAGAGTACTTCATACCTCCTAGGGCGGTACTATTCATTAGTGAAGCAGATGATTATACTACTATACATGAGAATGTTCTAAATCATGTTAGAGGCGACGGATTTTCCGAAATTAAATTAATTTACGGAAAATTGCCAAAATATAAGAATTCTGTATATGTTGCTTCTAGACTATGGCCCATTCACGATGAGCAGACATGGCGTCATTTTTCCCGGATCGCTAAAAATGAGTATGAGGAGTTGCACATTTACGTGGAAGCTTCAGCGACCCCGCCACAAACTTTGACGTTCCACGGAACTCCCAGAGAAGAAGGCCCATCATCCGTATATGGTCGGAGGAACAACCGCCAAACGTTTCAGAACTACGAATCTCCTGGTATGTGTTGTTCAAGTTAAATAGAATTTACAATGATTTGGTTTTATTTGTTGTCATTTTAAGAGTGTAGAACTAGTTAATTTAGTAATTTGTAAATTTTATAATTTTGATTGTTAAATAGGAATTTTAGAGTAAAAATTGGCTATCTGTGTGTCTCATCTGCACAAATTCAATACTTCTATCTAATTACACAAGAAACACATTCTAGTTCAAATAAATGAAATAACCGGAAGTGGAAGTGGAATTTTAAAAAAAATTAAAATTTTATCTCCTGTCGGAACACCCAAATCCGACGAGAGCACAAAAAGTTTTTATTATTCAAATAAACTTAAAATTTGTATATAGCGCATAAAATTTCAAAACTCTTGTCGGAACACCCAAATCCGACCAGAGCACAAAAAGATTTTATACTTCAAATAAACTTAAAAATTTTATATATTCCGATAAATTAAAACCAAAAAATTCAAACCATAATTTTATTTTATTTTAGATAGTGTGTTACAAGGAATTGTGTTCAATTCTAGAAATTCAAGAATTGTGTTAAATTAATAATTTGTCCCAAATAATAATATTGAAATTTATGAATGTATCTACTTTGTACAGTCACAAACTTGGGTGAAGAGTCGGACGACCCAGACTATGAACAAGGTTTTAGTAGTGATGTCGATTCATCCACGAGCGATGATAGTGACGACGTAGTAGACACCACCTGGGCTAATGTGGAGCTAGAAGAACCATATGTTCAAGCATTAGATTCTGAGCCTGAAAGGATCGAAGTAGGCGCAGTTTACTGTTCATATGATGCACTGAAAGAAGCGGTGGCGAGAGAAAACATTCGTCAATTTCGTCAATTCAGAACGGTTGACAAAAGGCCACGGTCCTGGAAGGCGGTTTGCATAGACCCGACCCTTTGCACTTGGCATATCCAAGCAGGAGAAGGTATGACGTCAAAAAAGTGGAAAGTAAAAAAATATCAACCCCATCACAGTTGTAGGGAGGATCCTGTCATGGCTCGGGATGACAGGCTCCTAACGGCCAAAATTATAGCCAATGAAATCGCTCCAAAAGTGAAAGTCGATCCGGACTACAGCATTAAACTGATAATGTCAGACATATATGAAAAATTTAATATCCGTGTTTCATATAAAAAAGCTTGGAATGGACGCTTGATCGCTTTGGAGCGTAAATTCGGCAATTGGGAGGCATCATATAATGAACTTCCTATGTTGTTGGAATCTATACAGTTTTCAAATCCGGGGACTGTTGTTCATTTGCAATCACAACAGGCCGGCACTCCTGATACGTCTGAATTCCGCCGAGTGTTCTGGTCATTCAAGGCTTCTCTAGACGGTTTTAGATTTTGCTTACCCGTAGTCTCGGTTGATGGTACTCACTTATATGGCAAATACAAGGGAGTTCTTCTAGTTGCGGTAGCCATGAATGCTAACCGTGAGATATTTCCTCTTGCATATGCTGTTGTTGAGAGTGAGAATGCTGACAGCTGGTCGTGGTTCTTTGCAAGGGTTATGCGTGATGTGGTTGGAAATCACCGTAGTGTGTGCATTATCTCTGATCGTCATGCAGGAATTGAAAGTGCATTTAGAGCCTTGCGAGAGTTGAGATCGCCACAAGTTTCAAAGCGTTATTGCCTCCGTCACATACGGAGTAATTTCATGACCAAGTTTAGGAACGCGGAACTGAAAAAATTATGTTGGCAAGCTGGTAGCACTCCCACAGAACAGGAATTTCACGACTGTATGCAACAAATACGAGACACAAATGAGAGTGCTTTTCTATATTTGAATGAGATTCCTGTTGAGATGTGGGCCCTGAGCTATGACGATGGCAAAAGATATGGCATTTTGACGACAAACCTTTCTGAAAGTTTTAACAATGTCTTAAAGGGATGCCGCACATTGCCTATCACAGCACTAGTAAAGGCCACATTCGATAAAGTCGTCCAACTATTTGCCCATCGACGAAATGCGGGAATAATGTGGCACCAAGCTGCATTCTTGTATCCACAGAACATATGGAAGGATGTTCTTGAGCGGTCACAGCGTAGGTATCACACAACTATTGTCCCGCACAATCGAACAACGGGAATTTACTCTGTAGCTATTGGTTCGCATGATCCAGTGACAATCGATCTGACAAGGCAGGAATGTGGGTGTGAGTATTGGAAGCAGAACGGGATGCCATGTGTTCACGCGTATGCGGTTTGTCGGTTTTTAAAAATAACCGTAGACAGCCTCATCCCAGCTGTGTATTCCTTAAATGCTTACATCCGAACGTACGCTTCCGATATTATGCCTATTAATAATTACCTCAATTTCATGGCAGAAACATCGCATACACTTCTCCCGCCCCCAAACAATAGATCGGCTAGAGCCGGTAGGCCATAGAGAACTCGATTTCCTAATGAAATGGATTTGCGTGCTACAAGGAGAGGACATGAGTAATATTGTAATGTATACCTTGTTGGGTTTTTTGAACTAATGAAATATTTGTTCTCTTTTTCGGGTGTTTTACTAAAAATTGGGTATTCCGACTACATGGGTATTCCTGTTAACTATAAATTAATATATCATGCATATGTTGAATTATGATTATTATGAATGATTATATACCCATAGTATATAATTTGAAGGTTTAGTAGTAATATGTGTTTGCGTATTCAATAGATAAATAATTCCTTATTTTTTTTAATATTCAGGCACAATGAATAGAGAAAACATAAATTGGATGTATAATCAATATGTTGGCAATGGTAGAGGATTGACACAAGAGTTTAAGAATGGAGTTATTGAATTTTTTAAGTTTGCACAACAACTATAATTAGATAAAGTTTAATCAGATAACTATAATCAGATAAGTTCAGTCAAAAAAAATTTAATCAGATAAATATAATCAGATAAATTTAATTACATAAAATGTAATCATATAAATATAATCAGATGAGTTCAATCAGATAAAATTTAATGAGATAAATATAATCAGATAAGTTCAATTAGATAAAATTTAATCAGATAAATATAATCAGATAAGTTCAATCAGATCAAAATTAGATAATTCCTTATTTATTCCACATTTGTACAAAAAATAAACTCTAAACCACCAAAGAAACACAATAAGGGCTCGGATCCCTATCGCACGGCTGTTATCAAAAGAGGAGGGGCTTGGATCGGAATCGGAGGGCGGTAAACGGATACCTCCAGTCGGATTTTGAAGATCCGACAACAATAAAATTTAAAAAAAATTGTTTTATGGATACTAACTTTATCAGCTACTATCACACGGTTCAAGGAAAAGCAAAAGAAGTGTGGACCACTAATTACTCAACACCAACTTTTATTTAATGGATCAAGAACTCCCAACTATTTTTTTTTTTTATATAAATAGAGTCGAGCCAGTTGGATCAAGAATCCCCACATAATCCCAAGCAAGAGCACCTACTAGCAAATCAAAATTTGTGATCTGTCAAATTTCCAGGTTAGTTAATTTTCGGTTTTAGAAGTGTAGAAGTAGTTAATTTAGTAATTTATAAATTTTTTAATTTAGATTGTGAAATTGGACTTTTAGAGTAACATTTAGCTATAAAATACTTGAAAGTTAGAAAGTGTGTAACATTTAGAATTTCCCTTAAATTTCGGTTTTAGGAGTGTAGAAGTAGTTAATTTAGTAATTTGTAATTTTTTTAATTTACATTGTGAAATTCAAATTTTACTCTTTAATTTTAACTTTTTATTATTTATAATAGTTGAAATTGTAGATGTTTAGAAATTGCGTTAAATTTAAATAGTCGAATTTAAGATTTTAATTTCGCAATTATAGTTATTTCGAATTTCAAAATTACTAGTTATTTTGGTAACTTTTAAGATTTTAATTTAGATTGTGAATTTAGAATTTTACTCTACATTGTGAAATCGGAAGTTTAGAGTTGTACTTAGCTATGAGAGGTATGGAGTACTCTAGATAATCATCTGCTTCACTAATGAATCCCAAGCAAGAGCACCTACTAGCAAATCAAACCTTTGTGATCAGCCAAATTTTCAGGTTAGTTAATTTTCGGTTTTAGAAGTGTAGAAGTAGTTAATTTAGTAATTTATAAATTTTTTAATTTAGATTGTGAAATTGGACTTTTAGAGTAACATTTAGCTATAAAATACTTGAAAGTTAGAAAGTGTGTAACATTTAGAATTTCCCTTAAATTTCGGTTTTAGGAGTGTAGAAGTAGTTAATTTAGTAATTTGTAAATTTTTTAATTTACATTGTGAAATTCGAATTTTACTCTTTAATTTAAATAGTCGAATTTAAGATTTTAATTTCGCAATTATAGTTATTTCGAATTTCAAAATTACTAGTTATTTTGGTAACTTTTAAGATTTTAATTTAGATTGTGAATTTAGAATTTTACTCTACATTGTGAAATCGGAAGTTTAGAGTTGTACTTAGCTATAAAAATCTAGAAATTTAGAAATTGTGTTACATTTAGAATTTGAGTTAAAATTCGATTTTATGACGTTACAAGTTGTTACTTTAGTAATTTTTTATTTTTTTGTGTTAGGTTGTGAAATTAGAATTTTAGAGTTCAATTTAGCTATAAATATCTACAAATTTAAAAATTGTGTTACATTTAGAATTTGTGTTAAATTTCGAATTTAGTAATTTATAACTACTTATTTTAGGAATTTCAAATGGAGCAAAACATTCCGTGCCCAGGGCCTGTTAACCGTTCACTACTCACGTTGCCACTGCGTGCCCATCGTGCGGACCGTATATGGTATGAACCGAATTCCAAAGACTCGTGCTTGAAATGCGTCAGTTGCCCTTCAGCTGCATTCGGAGTTGAAGAGCGAGATCCAAGAGTGATAGGTATGTTAGTTAGCATATGCTGGCTTCTTGGGGGTAGAGCACATTGCCCGTATGAAGGTGGATCATAGTTTAATATGCGCTTTGGTGGAGAGATGGAGGCCGGAGACACATACTTTCCATCTTCCATTCGGTGAGGTCGGCATTAGTCTACAAGATGTGGCGATGATCCTTGGTTTGCCCATTCGGGGTATGCCCCTCAGTGGTCCAACCGTTAAGGGTAAGGCTCAGTGGATCGACCTGTGCACGCAGTCGTGTGGTTTCACTCCTCTAGAGACTGATATGCGCACGAGTGATATCACCATGAGTGCTCTTACCCGTCACCAGATCCTACCTGACAGTACAGATGAAGAGGTCACCGAACACACCAGAACCCTAATATGGCAATTGCTTGGAGGCCTTTTGTTCCCCGACACGAGTGGGACAAGAATACGATTATACTTTTTGGAGGTCTTGCAGGGTGACTTGGCTTTAGCCCGTCGATGGAGTTGGGGATCAGCGGTTCTCGGGTACCTCTACCATAACTTGTGCAACGGCGCCAAGTGGGAAACCAAACAAGTTGGCGGTTGTATGCACTTGTTACAGATTTGGGCTTGGTCGAGGATTTCGATGGTCCGTCCCTCAGTAGTTCAGGTCATTCAACATGACCATCTTCCATATGGGTGCAGGTATGTTGGCAATTACATCTTAATAATTGAGAATGCGTTATATGACGTTAGAGTTTTTAAATTCATTTCGGTAATAAATAAATGTAGGTGGATCGTCCCCAAGTCATATAAAGGATCCCCAAGACACTGCATACGCCTGTACCGGGATGACCTAGACCGAATTTTTGAGAATGCGTTATATGACGTTAGAGTTTTTAAATTCATTTCGGTAATAAATAAATGTAGGTGGATCGTCCCCAAGTCATATAAAGGATCCCCATGACACTGCATACGCCTGTACCGGGATGACCTAGACTGAAATAAATATTGGAGCAAACTAGGATAAATATAAGACTAACTAAGACATTATGGACCATTTATAAATAATAAAAATTAATATTAGTATATTTAATTGTAAATGGACCGGTTATTTGATATGCGAAAATAAATGAATAATTAAGGAAAATGAATTATAAAATAAATATTTGGACAACCTAAGCCAAATGTAGAACCAAAATATAGTTATGGACGGTTATTAATTTATAAAGTCGACTCTTGGCTATTTTATTAAATTGGACCATATAAAGCTAATGAAGTAATTAAATAATAAAATTTTTATTATCGATGAAATGAATTTATAGTTTAATATTCATTAAAGAATATTATATTAAAATAATTATTTGGACTTGGTATCATAATTAGATTAAATAAATTGGTAGATTTTGTTTTCACTGATTATTGGACTAATTAAGGTAGAGTAATATAAAATTTGCATAATTACGGACTTTAAAATATTAAGTGTTTAAGTAATTAATAAAATCAGAATATGTTAGTTAATTCGGATTTATTAATGCTAATATTGTTAATATAAACTAATTTCGATATTTGATTAGTTAGATTAAAAATAATTCGGATATAATATTAAGACATACCATATGCTTTAGGAGTTGAGTAAATAAAAAGATGATTATTAAATTAGAAATTTGATATTGTAATTAATTATATTCGTATATTTTAGAATTTAAGTATTAACGACTGAATTAATAAGGTAATTTAATTAATAAGAAGTGATTAACGCGGATAATAAAATAATTGAATTAGTGAATTCGAAAAATAAAATAAAAGGGTAAAAATCGAGTGAAATAATTATTAAAGAGTAAGTGACTAATTATATCATCTTAATTAAAAAGGTAATTATTTAGAGACCGGAGTAGAAGAAGAGAATTAAGAGCAACCCTGCGACGGTGTGCTGATCCGTTGGATATCGGGCGGGCACTTAGTAGGAAAAGATTCTGGGATATGATTGAGATTGGTGTTTGGGCGCAACGAGGACGTTGCGTTCCTAAGTGGAGGTGATTGTAATACTTGAGATTTAATTTAAACGGATTAATTGTACTATTCATACCAACAGAGATGCATCTCCTTTTAAGGGAGCTCATCACCCAAGAACTCTAAAGTTAAGCGTGCTTGAATGAGAGTAGTCTTGGGATGGGTGACCCCCTGAGAAGTTTCTCAGGGCGCGCATGAGTGAGGACAAAGTGCGCGGTAAAGGCTCGTGGTAGTTTGTGAGGACGGTACTATTGGTCTAGAGTAGCTACCTCAGGTCCTGCGAGGCCGGGGTGTTACAATTTATAGGCTTTTCGGGATGCAACTCGGGTACCCGATCGAGTATATACACGGTACCCGATCGGGTATGTGTAATACCTCAGATTCGAGGTATACTCGATCGATTAAGGGGTAAATCATATAAGCATACCTGATCGGATGTGTTCTTGTACCCGATCGAGTATGTGTAAAACCTCAGATCCGAGTTATACTCGATCGATTTCAGGCTTTATTTTGAAAGGATGCCGGATCGGGTGTGTCAGTGTACCCGATCGGGTATAGACACTCGATCGTGATCCAAGTCTTCTCTACATGTTCCTTTGTCTTCGGATCCGATTTGATTTGAGATTTCAACAAGATACCCAATCGAGTATAGGCCATACCCGATCGGGTATAGACAAAAAATCAGGATCTTTATTTCATCTTGTGATTTTTGCACCTTCCTTCCACTTTTGGGGATCACCAACTGTACTTTGAGTGATAATGGACCTGTTTGAGCTCAGAATGAACCTAATCTAAACAATTTACAAGAATTTAACAAACTAATCTATTACACCAAAAGTGTGTAATTTCCAAAGTGAAAATCAATCAAAACTAATTAAAAACCCAAAGTGTGTAATCTTTTGAAGAACACATGGTGATCAAAGAGGTCGCGTGATGGCGAACCCTACTCCTCATACGGCGGCACAGCCGCCTACAAAATCAACGACGGCCCCTTCAACGGTAGCGTGGCAAGGGAGATCCTTTGCGGATATAGTTGCTGGACGCTCTACTGGATCACTATCTTAAAAATCTCATTCTCGCTACAAAGGAATGCCCTCTATTTCTTTTCCAGAGAGTGATATTTCGATCTTAGAAGAAGCCCCAACACTCGTTAATTGGATATTTCTACACTGGACGGCCTCATCTTGATACGCTTCGTAAATCGTTGGAGATAATTGGTTTTAAAGGGGCTTTCCATTTGGGTGTTTTGGAACGTAAGCATGTGCTGATTCGTTTTCAATTGGAGGAAGACTATTTTAGATTATGGAATAGGCAATCCTGGTCTATTCAAGGGAAGATTATGCGAGTCACAAAATGGTCACCTACTTTTTGGCCAAACGTGGAATCCCCGGTGGTTCTAGTTTGGGTTGCTTTTGAGGGTCTTCAAGTTCATTTACATGATAAGAGAGCGTTGTTTGATATTGTGGGGCTTCTTGGAAAACCTCTGAAGTTAGACTCGGCCACAGCTAATTTGGCTAGGCCATCTGTGGCTAGGATTTGCATTGAGATCGATTTAACCAAAGAGATGCCACAGAAGATTTGGATAAATTGTGGCAACTTTGGTTTTTCTCAAAATGTGGTTTATGAAAATATGCCATTTTATTGTACTCACTGTCTGCATCTGGGCCATACTTATAATTCTTGTCCTAAACGTAACCCAGATCAGCCTAAAGGAATATAATTGCCAAAGGAAAGATGGGTCTCTAAAAACCATGAACATGACACTGGGAGAAAGTTTACAACACAAGTAAAAGGCAAGGACATAGTACAAGCTAAAATTATTACAGACCCATCTACTTCTAAGCAAATGGAAATTACATGTGTATCAAATACAGGTATGGATAAGACTCAAGATGTGGTTCTCCCCACATGCTCTAGGTCAGCATCAGAGAAGACATTAACACCTGCAGATGACAAAATTGATAAGGAAAAGGTCAAGACCCTGCTGACTACTGAAATTCCAGGTATCTCAAATAATCTGCAAATCTCTTCTGTCAAAGATGACCTGGATTTACAGCCTCTACTACAGCAGTTTGAATTGGATTATGAACTTGCATCCAAAGAATATGACTCAGAAGGAGAAAATATCAGGAGGAGAGAGCCTCTGCATAACTGGAAAGATAATTGGCCTGATATTTGTAACAAAGTTGATATTATTGTTTAAAACATGGAAGAGCAGTCTATACCCCAGCCTCTACCTGAAGAGGAGTTACCTGCTATCAATGAGCCAGTGACTGGTGATGAGGCCACATTCAACTTTCACCAACCTGCAGAGCTTATACCAGATTCTGAATCAATGGAAAATCCTTCCAATTTAGAGAGGATAGTGGCTCCTGTACCAATGGAGGCAAATATTTCTGACAACTCAGATGAAGGTTTCACTAAAGTCAGTTACAAAAGGACAAAGAAGAAAGAAGATTCTGATATCCCACCAAGGCTAACTAGAAATGATGCTAGAAGAAAAGATAATACAGAACCATCTGGTTCTGTGGCACAAGTTATTCCTCACATGTTTTAATGAATGTTCTTATATGGAATTATAGGGGTCTGGAATCAGCTAGCTCCAGGCTCATTTCTTTGGTTAGGAAGTAGAAGATTCATGTGCTGTGTATTATTGAACCCATTGTACAGAGTGTGAGGGCTAATCATTTTAAGTTTCAGCTGGGTTTTCAAAAGGTCAGTTTCTCAGAGGTTAGTAAAACTTGGATTTTCTGGGATCCAAATGAAATCTCAATTACTGATTTCAATTGGCATCCACAGTTTGTCCATATGAAATTGGTCATGGGGGACTTCTCTGGTTGGTTTAATGCTGTTTATGGAGGACACAATTATATTACTAGAAGAATACTTTGGAATGCACTGACTACCTTTTCTACCAGTATGACTGAGCCTTGGTTTGTAGGGGGATTTCAACACTATTGCTAATCATTGTGAACACAAAGGTAACTATATACCTAATTTCACAAGTCTCTCAGAATTCTCAGATTGCATTGGGGCTTGTGGTTTGATAGACCTACCTCATATTGGGCCTCAGTTCACTTGGTCAGGTACAAGGTCTAATGGCAGGGTGCAAAGAAGACTGGATAGGTGTTTGGTTAATGACAAATTATTGGATTTTTATAGTCAAATTCATATTTCTGTCCTTGAAAGAACTCCATCAGATCATAACCCCGGTGGCGGACCCAGGAAGTCGGAGCCACGGGGTCCCTACCCTTACATATCTTTGATCTCTAATTAATTAAAAAAATATTAAAGAAGCATAACACTTCAAAGTTAACGTACACCATCAAAACATTAAGATATATTATAAAGCAACAACTTACATATAAAAGTCATTCAACAATTCTATAGATGTACTCTCCTAGGCTTCATTTGTTGGAAATATTCTAAAATAGAATCATCACTAATAGTACCAAAAACATCTCTCTCAACATATGTAACTAAGCAATCATTCAACCATTGATCGCAGATCTTGTTGCGCAACTCATTCTTCACAAACTTCATACTTGAAAACGCCCGTTCAACACTTGCTGTAGCTACTGGGAGAAGTAGAGATAACTTAATAAGTGTATACATGTGCTGATATGTTCAGATTGTTTCACAAAACATGCTCCAATACTTTGTTTTTGGTTCATCAAATCTTCCAATCTTTTCACCGCATTGTAATGAGGACTGTTAGGTTTACCAACATGTAAATAGAATCTATCTTTTTTATTCCATGCTGAAAACCCAATTCCCACAAAATGATCACCCCCAACTTCCCACTCATTCT